ATTAATAAATTATCTCTTTTATGAGCCATATAGGCAAAAATATTATGTGTTTTATATCTGTAAGCCAAGATAAATTTACTTCTGTTAATATTTCTGTGGTTGCATACTGCTTTGGGTTATCTTCTTCTGATTGCATCTAGGGGATTTTTAATAGTGAATATCATTTGTGAATCAAGGGGACTGCCTGCATCAGTTACTTGCTTTTATTCCTGCATTTCATTTTCATATTTACTGTTTCAGATCTTCCATTCTACTTCCATCTCTTCTTGAGAATGGTAACCGAATAACCATGTGTTCTGATTTTTTTTTTAATCAAATAACTCTTCCTAGAGCCTTCACAACAGAAGTGAGATTATCATTTGCAGGCAGCACAAAGAATACTACATTGAACTAATTACAAAATAATTCTTAGCCTTTAAGGGTAGGTTGAAGTAGCTGGGGTTAATAACTGGACAGGCTGGGCTTTTAATGCCAGGGCAGCCTTTTTAGGTGCTTTATCCTCTAATATTCCATTCAGATCAGAATTCATGTGTGTGATATGCCAGGCATCTATGCAAGCAGATAACAAGTTGCGCTTAGAATGATTAAAGAAAGGTCAGTTTCTTTGCCCTTATTTCCTTATCAATTACTTAGTATACAGCAGTATTAGCACAAGATTATCTTTAAAAAGCCTCGTCTCCAGCCCTGAGAGTCTTACCCATTCACAGAAACATAAGAGAGTCCTATCCTTTTTTTTTGCTGTTACTGTGTTATGTTGTATTTTTTGGCAAATACACATTTGTAAAATGTGCGTTAAGGTCATAACTAAGAATAATGAAAGGCCGAGTTAATCTTTATTAAAAGACTTTAAAAGTTTGTTTCTGTCTCATGAAAAGCAATTAGCTAGTCTTAGCAGTTGCTTGTGGATTAACTGTAGCTGAGGTCAACAACTGACAAATCATCAAGATAGAAGATTACTGAACCAATGACTACAAGGTGAAATTCTGTTTCAACCCAAAAAGGAGAGGAAAAAAAAAAAAAAAAGCAGACAACATGGAGGAAAAAAGAACCAAAAACAAGCTCCTTGGAGTATTGAAGCTTTCCAGGTACACATTCTTACAGCTTTGGCAAAGCAGATTTAACTTTCCTAGCTGCTAGAAGATGCTTCAAAAGAATTAACTTTCTGCCCTCTATATGTGTGTGAAAATTTTAATAGGGTGTCAACTTTCAGTTTAGTTGGTTATTTTCCAAACTTCTGCAAGAGATGTTTTGGATTATAAAGGATATATTCAAGTGGATATCTTAATGCAAGTCTTAAATCTGGAAGCGGAATTAAGAATCTGGATTCTTGTATTCTGGATAGCTGTGGGTCAGCTGTATGTAATTTCCACCCCTTAATTTACATATCTTATGGAAGCCTTAGTACCGTTATAGAAGCCTAACACCTGCCTATTTCTGTCAGGATTTTTTTGTTTGCTTTTTGAGTTACAGTGACTAATCATTATGTGAGATTCTTAATTGAAGAGTGCTTTAAAAAAAAAAGGAAAAAGTATTAAAATGAGCCTTTTGGTGTCTCTTTAAGCAAATGTCAAATACCAAGACTTCAGCTGCAGATCTGAGTACATGGCAGAGTACAGGCTGTTCAAGTACACCCTAGCTGGTCTTTGTAGAGATCTTACTGACATTTTAGGCGTGATTCTTCCTTAAAATAATTCAAAGCTACCCTAATTGTTAATGAATTTAGAGAAGGACAGAATGGTATCCTGTGTCAATGCACAGTGACCTGTTTGCATCCTTGGTTTTCTTGGGATAAAGTCTCCTGTAACTGCAGTGGTCAATTACTACCTGTATAAATCCTTAGGAGGAGGCTGAGGAGGCGCTGGGCTGAAGGCAGATCAGGCCGGCAATCTCCACTGTCCCTGGAAGACTATGTACGAACCTGTATCATCTCCTAATTTGTTTTCTTTGGTGTATTCCCTAAGAGAACCTCTGACAGATGCAGGAGGAGTAGCAGGCAAACATATTCAATTTTGGATTATAGTAAAAGCAGCAGTCTACCACCTAGAATGATATGATTGGCAGGTCTTTACTGGAATAGTTTTGCATTTGTGCAGACATGCTATGGCCGTTTTTTAAGGTATGGAGACAAGTTTTGGATCCATCATCGTTCTATCACACCTGAGAATCTTTTCCTCTATATAAAAAGACTTCCAAATTAGCCCTTTGCATTTATGAGAGGGGTGCACATGAATCATAGTGTTAGGAGTTTTGCTGTTAATGTCAGATTAAATTCTTGTCCAGGATTCACATGATTCTAGGAAAGTCTTTTGTTTGTTTGTTTGTTTTGTTTGTTTGTTTTGCTTTGTTTTCTTTCCTTTTTGTGATTCCACACAGTTATCGTGATAATGTCTAACTTGGCCTGGGTTGATCATCTTTGTCTTTCTCTTACTTCTATGGATGTTTCCAATAATCACTGTGAATGGTTTAATTTTTTATTTTGTATTTTTACTTCTTATTGATCACTTAATGTATGTACATGTATGATTCACTGCAGTATTTTTTTTAATTTCTTTGAAACATGAAATACATATGTAATATTCAATGCTATTTTACCATTGAAGGATGCATCTGAAACCTCTGCTTTTACGGTAGATAATCATGTTCAACAGCCTGTATAGTCTGTGAAAATAGTAATCTTCAAATAATTTTGTAAAAAATCTTTTATATTATGATTTAAAACTCTAGAAGGCCAGGACTTTTAGTATGCTGCCCTTGTTTCATAGGCCAGACCTAACAACTGAACCAGCATATTTGGGCTGTTGCAGCAATGAGGAACGCCACTGAAAGCATTGGCTAAAGGGATCCTCCACTGAGATGTAATTAAACAGTCTTGCCCTAAATTACTCTAATTTTGAAATACCTTTCATTAATGCAGTTTTGGGAAGGTTGTGATAAGCTATAAATCTCATAATTTATGAAAATATTTTATGCCTTTTTTTTTGTGGAGGAAAAAATACCATGTTTCATTTATAGTGTAACACTCATCTAAAGAAGGTTTAAATTTGAAATTTCTTTGCGACTCCAGTTCTGATGGGAAGTATTAGAACTCATGTGTTGTCATTTGTTAAAAATGTAAATTTATGCTGAAAATTGTTTGTCAGTCACTCAGAAGATTAAAAGTAATTAAACTGAAAGTTATACAGATTTGTGCCATTTCTGTACCCTCTCATCTCAAGATGGTGTGAGAAGCAGACAATTGTAATAACTTGCTGCTACTCCTTTCCAGCTTAATTTGATCTTGTTCCTTAATTCTGACAGATTGTTTTTAATTTTCCCATCTGTTCCATAAAAATCTGAAATGATTGACTCTTAGGAAAAAATAATGTCTAATAGCTGAGCCATTTTTAATGAGAGCTGGTTAGAGTTATTTAATGAGATATGCTGAAGAAGACGAGCCAAAGGAAAGACGGGGCCTGGAATGGTGGGTGTAGAGAAAGGTAAAAGGCATGTGTATCCTTCAGGAAATTCTGTAACTTTAGCTTCTCACTGTTTCTGATTTCGGCTATTTTGTTTATAAACAACAAATCAATTTTTTAAAATATTTTTGAAAAATTGGGAAAAAATACCTTGTTTTAATGCTTTTCCTACCTTCAGGAATTACCACTTTGGGGAAAAGTGTCTTAAAAAAAAAAGAAAATGGTTAAAGAAAATACTTAAGTAACCTGTAAAACACTTTAGGCTCCCGTTTAACTTCAGCTCACATCGCACACTATAACTTCTAGATTCTCATCAGAACAAACCTCTCTCCATATGTGTAAACAGAATGAACATGCACTTCCAGTAGCTCGGAAGGCTAAAACCTTTGCTTTAAAATAGCCTTCAAATGACATCTCTTGGGCAGGAAGTTATCATTATGCAGAATGGGTCTTTGATAATAGCAACCATGAATATAAATAGTAGCACCTGGACTTTTCTGTTTTCATTTTTATATATTACAATAAACATTAATATTAATTTTAATAATCATCAAATAGTAGCCCGCGAAGCTTCAAAATTAAATCAAATAGTGAAAATAAATATACATCTCTTCTGCAAAGAATGCTGAGAATTTGAAACTCTGCAAATATGCTGTTTTTAGCCTCATCTATTGTAGAATTCATAGAATAATAAATGAACTTGTGATTGCATACAGTGAAGAATATCATATAAGAGAATGCTACCATGGTTATGAGCTTAATATACACTTGATTTCTGTATAGGATATCAGTGTAAGAAAGAGTTGGGGTTTTTGTTTTTTCATTTTTTTGTAACCAAGTAAAATCTGAAAGTAATTTATTTGGAAGAGGGAGTGGGGAAAATCAGTAGTCAACAGTTTTTGTTTATATTATGTTTTGAATACTTGGCCTGTCACTTTTTCCCATGACACAGGGAAACGGATAGAGATTAAACTATGTTTTTTAAGACACAGAATGTGTTAGCAGTTAAAACTGCCTTTAGTCTGAATTTGCACACATTTAGATTGTGCTGGAGTCTGTTTCTACGGCTCAAGCACAGTGAGTGGCCGGGAATAGGAGATGCTCTGTGCTTATGCACAGAAAAGTCTCTGGTTGTGACTGGGACTAGATTGTGCCAAGAGTTTAATTATCCTAACCTGAGATTAAGATGAGGGAAGCAAATACTTTTATTTTTAAATAATTTCTTTTCCTTTTTATTGCTATCCATCTCCGTAAAGCTGGTGTGGATTCTTTTCTGTTGGGATGAAGGATTTGATTGTCAGGTTACTTTCTTTTCACGGAAGGACACAAAAGTGATCTAATTTTAGATGAATTCTCTCTTTGGTAGCATGACCCATTAGCCATTACTCTTAATGGTTTTTGAACAAGTATCTTGTTGCACTGCGGTTTAGTAATAAATACCTTGTATATTTATGTAGTTAAAATAAAATTCACAAGATGTAAGTTTAATGGTGCTGCATTAATCCTTCATAAGGCATTGATCTTTGTTTTCATCTTCTCCCTTAGTGTGTCAATCCTGATCTTTAACACTTCTCGGCAGTGCTTTGTTGTGGTGAAGCAGTTCCGCCCAGGTAATCCTCTTTTTTTAGATTTACTTTTGCTCTCTAGTGAAGCAAGCTATTAAGGGTTTAGCAGTTAAAAGTTGGTGCATCTGTGGTGTCAAAATCTTTGTTCCATATTCTGTTGCTTTGTATTATGGCCCATGCTTTTCAGTAGGCCAGAATTTCTAACTAAGGGAATTTCCATTATAGATGAAACAAATGACCACAATAGCCTGATGTTCTGCTTTTGGGGTTAGTCATTGCCCTGTTTTTGATGAAACACACAAGTTTATAATGAACATGCTTGTATGTGAAGTTTTCATCTTGACCTGTATAGTAGGAAGCTTGGTGCCTAAACACAATAGTCCTTCTTTTTGTAAAAAAGCAAATAATAGTAGCTTACATATTATTGTGAATTATATGCTTGAGAATTTAAATAAGAAGAACACAAGAATATTTACACAATTTCATCAATCCATGGAGAATTTCTCTTAAGCATATATTAGGAATTGAAGGGCTTTTTTTAACTTTTTGTATCAGTTATTTTAATTCACAGTGTTATTTACATTTCAAGGTTAAAAATGAAATATGTATTCTCTGCATGTTAATTTAAAAAATCACAAGATATTTCACTGACTGTTGCTAGGAGACCGTTTCAAGACTGTTCCTGCTAGACTTTATTGGAAACTTTCTAGGGCAGGTTCATCCTTTCCTTACCAACAGTGTTTGGCAGGTGGCTCAGTGTTGCACAGAACTGTTATATGGATAGTTCAGGCTTCCAGTGCAGCACTATGCTTACTGTTAAGTTTGTTTATCTATTTATTGATGAATTACTGCCTTCTATTTCTATTTGCCAGACAAATAAAATAGCTTGTGTATGTGTTGCCCCCTCTGAGGCAGTCTTACACAGTTAGATTGCAGAGGCTTTCACACACACTTGTGTATACATCGATGAATAATGGACTGTGAAATACTGCCCAGTTCTGAGGACCCAAAGCAGTATATGATGTGAACCTTTATTTAGGGAAACCAAAGGCAAACATATGAAAGAGAACCTTTAAAAACAACCAATATTATTCTTTCTGTTAAGGATATATGCTTAAATTGTGGGGAGGGGGTGGAAAGGTGCAAAAACATGGGATACAGCTCTAGCAGTAACACAGACATGTCCATTCTATCATCTCCATGTAAGTACCAAACCTGCTAGAGGACTCTGCCTCAAAAGACTGGCTTATTTTTCTTTTTGCAATCAGAGGTTGGATCTGTTCACAAAGCTGGTATTAGGGACTTGTGGTCAGCCAGACATCCCATAGCAGCTCAGTGATCACAGCCATGCCCATACATTGCTCATACTGCTGTAATTGTGTTTCCATTATCTAGTTATTCTCTGCCTTGTCTGCCTGGTGTTTCCCCAGAGCAGAAATTAGAGCCGAGATTTTTTTGATTACTTGCAGCCATCGGGATCCCACCAGGCCTGTAAGGCGGCTCTTTCCTTGGGAGCAAAGAGCCGCCGCGCAGTGACAGGCGCGTCCCCTGCACGCGTGGCTGTTGACATCTGCGCTCGCCTGTCCTTAGCGTGTGGTTTTGTGGTTGATTTTTGACCATTTAGGCCTGTGCTGCTTCTGAAGGCAGCAGGCCCTCTTCGTATGTACATTCCCACCTCACACACTTCCAACGGTGCAAGCCCTTGTACAGCCACAGCAGAGGTCTGATATGGCTGAAACGGGCAAGATTTTTTATGCAGAGCAGCTGGCTGATCTGAGTGGTCATAGGAAGTCCGTACTGCTTTGAAGGAATGGCAGAAGCACGTCTGGAGTGAGGCAGAAGATAGGATCATACTTCTTGGTGGCACTGTGGACTTAGGTCATCTTAAATGATAATAAAATCACACATTTGGAAAGAACAGAGAAAGAATGAAAAATTATGTATGTATTTCAGTCGTTTCCATATCAGATCCTCACACCATGACTCATGGGCCAAGGTCCTTGGCTATGCTCATTTTGGTAGTTGATTGACCACACATATCAAATATAATTGTGGTATTTGTTTTTTTCAATGACTCAAAATAAACAGCATGAAAGATTTGAGTCATAAACCATGTTTTGTTTCAGGAGGTACCACACATTGATGCAATCAAAGAGAAACCAAAAGTTTGAACAGAAACTAGTGTGTTTCTCTTGTCAGTTAGGTCCCAGTTACCCTTTCAAATCCATAGTGTTGTCCCTTTGTCTTTTGGGTGCGCAAACAAGTCTCTGAGTCACCTGAGAAGGCTGCTTTGAATAACAATTAACATCAGATTTGACTAATTCTTCGTAGCTTTATCCTGGCTATGCAGAAGGATATTTGAGTACATCACTTAAACTGGAATCTCTGCTCCAAGATTCCCTACAGCTGAATGGCTCCTGGATAATTAATCAAGATTCTTAATAGGCCCCACAAGGTTGTCTGAGCCCTTATCACACTGATGCTCATCACTGGTGTATGTCTGATAATGGATGAAATGTCCCTGTGATGAAGTGGCTGTTCTTAACTAAAGTAGTGTAAACTTTAGTTTACGCTAAGGGGAGACAAGAGAGCAATCAGACACGTTAGGGGTGGATTACTCTGCTGGGACATGAGGTCTTGATTCTAATATGCTCTCAAAACCATTTATATATTTGAAATAAGACAAGAATGGAAATAGTCCTGGGAGAAGGAGGAGGAGGGAAGAAGGGAGTTGATAACTTAGCCAATTTACACAGGCATATTCTATATCTGTATATATTTGTAGCTATATATATATATACGGCATCTCATCTGGCTCATGCATGCAGTTGTGCAGCTTCAGAAGAGATGTTGGGGACCCTCTTTTCCCTGATATTAGCAAGCAGCTTGCTGTTCTAGGCTTCTCTAATTCATTAACACTATGAACGTGAACTTTCCTCAGCCTGGGAGAGTCAGGGAATATATGCCCTGATTCCTCGGTGCTGGACTCATGCAAAACTGCCCAGTACCTTTTCTTTTCTTGAGAAGCTGTGTGTCTACTTGGAGTGTTAGTGTAGGCCAGGGTGTGCTCTGAACGGGGCTGCTGGGTGGTGTCCATCTGGGAACGGAGGATTTGATGTACGTGGAGCCCAGCTGTGCTGAGAGACAAGTAGAACGGTAGGTGCCAGCTGGAATAACAGGATGTCTCAGGGAGTCGACAGGAGTTAGTTTAATCATGATTTCATGCTTCAGCACCTAGCATCTACCTACACCCTCTTTTGATGCTGAGTCCTTTACTGAGATGCCTGTGTTACTCCTTTTTTAGTATTATTATTTTTTATTTATTTGCAAATTAGACAATATACACCCTCCAAGGATCTGTGTCTCAGACTTTGGATGCAATAAAATTGCCACCTATTTATATATGTGTGTGTGTGTGTGTGTATATATATATATAAAGGAGCTCTACTCATTACTCATTCTTCAAATAAGAAGTAGAGGCTCCTTTCCTTAAACATTCGCATCTGAAGGGTCCAGGTATACTTCCTGACAACATCTTTAAAAGTCTTAAGTTCTGGACAAGTTTCTGGACACATTTCTGCACATTGTGGGTTTTTTGGTTTGTTTGTTTGTTTTAGCCAGATCTAAGTAGCTCCCTTCTCAGTGTGCTGATCTTTTTACCCTGCATTTTCTGTGACTCAAAAAGCATCGAAGCAGGAGCGTGAACACTCAGTTCTGGAGTACAAATTCTTCTCTAGAGATCAAGGTCTTAAGAGTACTGCACTGTACCTTCATGCTACAACATTTCAACATTTAAAAATGTTAAGAACTAATGAACCAAATCCGTTATTGGTTCTTGAAGAAGAAAACAGTTCTTTAAACACAATCTCTTTTATATACCAGTTCTATAAGATTTGGAATAGGAAACAGAAAATAAGCTCATTTGGAAACTATGTTATGCATATGTAAAATATGCATGTAAAAGATTTTCATAATCTCAAAATAATCTCAAATTTTAGTAAAGCTTTTATTCTTGGTGTTTTATAACACTCTCTGGTAAATACCAGCAACTTTTCATTAAAGGCACGGATAGACGTGAGAACATTTCAAAGAGGAAACATATGGAATATAAAGCTTTTATTCTTGGTGTTTTATAATACTCTCTGGTAAATACAGTAACTTTTCATTAAAGGCAAGGATAGACATGAGAAAATTTCAAAGAGGAAACATATGGAATGATACCTGTAAATTAAAGCTGTAGTGACCTGGAATTGTCAACAGTGATTCATTGTGTATTTAAATGCAGTCCTGCAGTTCTTACTTGGGCAAAGCCTCCACTGAGATCAGCACAAAGTTTTGTTTAAATATGGGCTAAAATATGCAATTGCACTTTCTTTGGGAGTGCATTACAGTAGCAGCTGTTTGTAGATTAATTTGAAAAGTCTTTTTCAAATTCCACGCAGGAATCTGTGCAGGGAACTATATGTTCAAAAGAGGATTTTTTTTTTTTTTTTTCAAACAAACATACATGCTTTCTATATCCTTTCTAAATAACAGCTGAGTTGACAGGCTGAAAGACTCATCATTGTGCACATGGTACATAATGTAGAACCCAACTTTCCTGTAAAGTAACTGCATAGTTAGATTAAATCCTGATATCCGTGCAGCCCAGCAAATGGAAGCTCTTTGGAGCTTCTGGGATGTAGACTTATGGGATGAACAAACTTCTTTTTCTTTTTTTTCCTTTTTGCAGTGTGCAGGAACTAATCCCAAATGATGTAAACAGGAAGAATGTTCTGCAGATACACCAGAAAAACCTTTTTTTCTTTTTTTTCTTTTTTCCTAAAATTCCAATTGCAGTGTGTCATAATTTTAATAGAGCACTTAGCTGACTTCCTTGCTGCTCTCAGGTGCCATGATGGTTTTTAATTCCCAGGCAAAATTCATGCTGTGCCTTTTTTTCCCCCATTCAGTATGAGTACATTCAAAAAAAGTTTCTTTTTCTTCCATATTTTTAAGCTGTTTACATGTGTGAAGTAGAAAGGCACTCTCCTCAAGTCTTCCAGAACCAGGACAAGCAGAACTTGGGGCATCTAGAGGATCCTTTACCTGCTGTGGTCGGAGTGACGTATGAACTCTGCGCTGGCATTGTGGACAAACCAGGCCTTTCTATAGAAGAAATAGCCTGTGAGGAGGTCTTAGAAGAGTGTGGCTACTGTGTTCCTGCTGCAGACCTAAGGAAGATCACCTCTTACAGGTAAATGGCAGAGAGTTAACATTCCTGACTTTATTGCTTCAAAGACAGATTTCAGAAGTGGCTTGAAAGTAAGTTAATGTTCCCTGTTTAACTCCTGTTTTGGAGAAACAAAGAACATGTAGAAGTATGTAAAAGGTGCAATCTTCAGAAAGTGAGAGAAGTATTTGCAAAGAGGTAACAAACTATATCTCAACTCATAATTATAGGATGAATTCCAAATAAGAATTAGTGTATTGTGATTTGTCCCATAGAGCTCTTAGTGGCAGAGTTTGTTAAGGTATTAGAAAATGTTTTATCAGAACTATATCAGGCTTTTTTAATCTCTGATTATTACTCTGATTGGGTTCTGATTAACAAGAGGATATCTGAAGATGGACTCTGTTTTTTTCCATTAATAGCGCTCTGCAGCAGCATGACAGTTTGCATCATTAGATCTCTTTGTAGTGTTAGGGTCATAAAGTATAAACAATTCAATTTTGTGAATTGAACAGTAATTAATAGACGAGATTTGTGCTTTGAGTGTGAAGATTTTTATATGCCGTTTATTGCAGGGCCTTAAAATCTATTACAGTAGATACTAAAATGTATTAAAGCATACATTAGCAGTAGAGGGAAAACCTACAAAGAAAGAGGAAAAATACAAAATGTCAATCATTAAAATCAAGAGAACAGAGCTTTAATCTCATTATAGCTCCTTCCCACCCCGTAGTATTGTTATTCCAAACATATGTATTAATTTTACAGAGAAAGCTGCAGGTTTTTTTTCCTTTCTTTGTTTTGCTTGACATCCCTGTTGAACTAGGCCCTGCCATTGGTTTTTAATTTGGGAATTGAATACAAATCCACAGCTGTCAATCCTGGCAAATGTTATTTCCTGATGGATTAGCAAGCAATGCTTCGGGGAGTGTAGGGGGTGAGCTGCAGGAGCTGGCTCTTACAACTCCTTGAAACTAGATTAAGGGCTTGTTCTACTGAAAGAAAAACTGCTTTTTAGATTCATGAACAGAGGCTGTCCATAGCATTTTATACATTGTGACATTGATAGACCATAGCATAAAAATACATGTTTGTGTGCGTGCAGAAACACACGCTTGTATATATGTATAAATATTCAGTAGCCTCTCAATATGCAAGTCCAAAACAAACTAGTGAATCATATTGAGTCCAGGATGGTTGCCAGTGGAATCCTATTTGATGTGTATTTCCAATTCGATCTTGTTACCATTCCATGAGTTCTGTTGTCATACTAGTTTTGCACCTGTTTCATAGTTTCATTTCTAACTATATCATGTTTTCCTAACGTCTTAATGAAATGAAATATTGATAGAGTTCAAATCCTTAATAAATTCAGGTGATAGTATTTGTTTCGTATCCCCTGTCCACAAGACCTCTTACCCTATTATGCCTGAAATTAGTTTGCTTGCATATTATGTATTCTTGACAAATCTGTTAGCTATTTTTCCATTCTTGACAAATACAAGGGCGCATGAAAGATGTTAGTATAATTCATAGTTATTGAGTTAAGACTATTACATCTTTGCAGATGAAAACTCAGGATTGCATGCACATCAAGAAGGCTTCCATACAAGCAAGGCTTTCTGTGTCAACACACTTTTCAGTCAGAAAGCAGGGAGTTGGCTTGTATTCCTAATAACATTTTTTTCTGGAACTGTGCTAATGAGAAGGAAATTGCTTGCATTGAATAAAAGCAGGGGTTGAGCTCAGACCTGACGGAAGAATATGAAAAGGAAAAGATTGGTGAAATATAAAGGGAGAATGGTTTTAGCTATGAAGGTACATACAGTTCTATAGCTAATGGATTGAGGAAGTGAGGGAACAAACCATGTGTAGGGAGAGTACAGATGAGGGGAAAATAGAAGATCCTCAAATAGGAATAATAATAAGAAATGGAGCAATGCTGTAGAGCAAAAATATGCCATGAAATCTAATGGACTCAGAGAATATAAGTTCATCAATGTGGAGACGAGTACAGATGAGGGGAAAATAGAAGATTCTCAAATAGGAATAATAATAAGAAAAGGATCAATGCTGTAGAGAAAAAATATGCCATGAAATCTAAAGTTCATCAATGTGGAGAAGTGTACCCTTTAAAGAATCTTGCACCCGTTGTTGAAGCAAGGTACTGTATTTAGAGGTTTGTGGTTTATCATATTGGTCAGATGGAATTCAGGGTATCAGGTGGATCATCTGATCCAGGTCCATGGATAGTATAAAGAAGTAATGCTGAAAAAATAACCCGAAGGCAACACTGGAGCACTCAAATGTCCCAGCCAAGCTGACACACTGGAATGGGGAAAGCTTAATTTCACTCAAGCAGTAGGTACGAGTAAAGCCTGGAGGAAATGTGAAGATAGCTTTTTTTCCCTGATGCTAATGGGGCTTGCAGTGGTGGATTTTGAGTTTGGGCAGTGGTGGCGGATGTAGCAGTTCTCAGTTGGTCCAAGAAGGGTAGTTGCGATACTGCCACAGGATGCTTAAGCTCTACCGAAGCTCTTGTGACATGATGCTGATCAGGCAGAAGCTGGACCCTGAATAAGAAGATCTCAGACTTACCCTGAATGATCCACAGGGCTAAATGGAGTTTAGGAAGAATTAAAAGGCTGGGGAATTGACAGTAGCTGGGCAAAAGTTTTAGAACACGTTATTCCAGAAACAAGTGGACAGCGTGGAGTAGCTGAATGAAGGAGACTGGCACTGGGGACAGATCAAGAGAACAACAAACATTTTATGAGAGGCTTGACTTGAGATCGAGGAATCAGGCACTGAAGAACCATAAATATCTGTGCTTACAGTAGAGTACCCCTACCTAGAAGCTAGATTTAAATGAGAAGAATGGTTTGTTTTGCCCTCCTACCTAGAAGCTAGATTTAAATGAGAATGGTTTGTTTTGCCCTGTAAATGGAGGCAGTAAATCATTTTGGAAAAATAATCTGTATTGTTTACACCCGGGGTGGTGAGTTTCCCTTTCTTAGCTCACCTACACAAACTGCTACTTTGGTGTTTAGTGCATGAGTAAGTAACATTTTCCCGCTTTTCTTTTTGTCAGCAGCTGCTGTAATTTTGGAGGTTTCATTTTCCATTATGAAAGTTTTGTCCCCACTGTTGTGTTGAGTTCTAGTTAACTCTGTGTGTGACTTCATTCCAAAATGACATAGATGGTTGTGCCAGTAGCTGAGATTTATCTAAAGGAATCCCATAGATCAGTAATAAAATGAAGATACTACAGTAGTGTAATAATAAAATGAACCTTAATGAAAATGATTGTTGATAACTGTTGATTTTTAATAGCCCTAAAATAAATCTGTGAAATTCTTCCAGTTTTATGTTTCTAAATGTTAAATTTTGTAAGTGAACAAATCTTTCTACTTACTGATAAATCAGATATAAACATTTTATTCTATCTCAGTATCCTAGCAGTGTCAGTTTGAATCCTGTATCATACTCAGCTGTGAGTTAGGTCTTTAGTACTTCCAGCTGTTTTCCTCGAGTCTCGTTCCTTTTCAACAGAGGGGCATGAGGATACGTTGATGTTACTATTTGATGTTACTATTTGAATATTATTACAGCTTACAGCATTTTCAAATAGTTTTTGAAATGCTTGGTCTTCTTGAATGTTTGTAAAATGATTTGGACTTCAGTAATACATCCCAGTATCAGGATAAAGATGACATAGTTTGTGGTTCCACTCCCTTCTATCCATCTTTTTTTTTTCTGCCAGAGGTCGTATTAAACAGATGGGTACAAATCAGATGCAGTTGAACCTGCAGGTTCCAAACCTGGCTCTAAAAAAAAAAATCAGATGTATTAGTTTAAGGGCCTAATTATTAACGTAGGTACTTTATTCTTCATACATATGGGACTTTTCCAAAGATATACAACAAAGAGGAGTATTCACAGAGTTAATATTGGATGTTCCAATTACTGTGCTATGGCTATTAGCCACCGTTCAATGAGGTAAAAATGGTTTGTATTCAGAGGTTATTATGTAGAAAGAATAATGCTCTTGAAAAGGTTGGTGTGTGTTATAATTAGAAAGATCACCTGCTAGTACACCTGTTGGATGATGGCATAATGTAATATAATTTTATGTTAATTACTTCTATGCTTTTTTTTCCCTGCACCTGCTGCTTGTAGTGTCAGAACTGTACAATGGTCCTAAGAAGTGACAATAGAAGCTGCGTGTCATTGTTCATCACTCTACATGCTGCATGCCTAAATACATCTTGACTTCAGCACAAATAGCAGAGATTTCTGTTGCATGTGTCTGTAAGCATGTTTTACAAAATCATTATGTTCCCAAAGGCTGTATCCAGTGAATTATATTTTAGAAATTGATATATTTAATTTAGGAATTTCACATTGACTGTGTCACAATATAATCAAAATACATATTTCTATGTTGACATGAACAGCTAAATGTTAATTACTTATATATCTTATGTTCATTAAATATTAAGAAAAGACGAGAAATCCAGCTTTTAATTGTTGTGCATCAGAAATCTAAGTCAAACCATTGCTTAAGTCATTAAGCCTTCAAATTTAAATATTGACTATAATAATGTGTTTGCACAGATGAGAACCTAGGCGCGAGCAGAGGGGAAAACCAATCCTGAGTACATGCTTTGAATGTTGACCCAGTTAGAAACGGGTACATGTGTATGTGCACACACACCACACACACTCACACATTTTTCAAAGCAGAAACTTGTTTTTGCTGAGCACAAGCAGTCACAGAAGGTGGACTCAGTTGTGGCTTTCGGCACTACTAAACATTTAATTATTTAAAGCATTTATTTAATTTATTAAAGCAATAAGATTCTGTTACCCACTTGTAATCAAAAATACTTATGCAATGTAGCTTTATTGTTATGGACTTGGGTATCGAATAACAAAAAGTCCCACTTTGTCATCCGTAGTGCTTGTGCGCCATAATTCCTCATACATTTAATAAAGGCAACAAGGGCTTTGTGATAACAACTATTGCAGTGCTTCAAAAGCAGACTGGAGTCACAGTCTCTCCATTCTGCTTTCCCTAATCTAAGAGGGAAGCAGATAGAAAATGCGCTGGGTATAACCTTACCCTGTCCGCCTGCTCCCAGCCCTGGGTGTGCGGTGAAGAGCAGCACTTTGCACTAGCTCTGCAGAGCCTGCATCTCTGCTCTGCTCTTACCTGAGTGTGTGTTGCCCACAGCTTTGAAAGCCATACCATGATTTCCTCTCAGTATGTGAGTGCTTCATTCGACATGCAGCATGGGATTGCAGCATACAGTCTTGTTTGAATGTGTTAAACTTACGTAGAAGTTAAAATTGTGATAAGAACCATAACACTTTCATATCCTTATTTTTGTATGTTTGCATTCATAGACTGGTTGTCAAAAGTAATAGAGGTTGCTAATTGTCTCTGAAAAAAACCTAAAAGTTTAGTACTAATGGATTTCAGGTCTTAAAAGTCTCTTTCTTTTGAACTGCAGGGTTTGTGAGCTTATGCCTTAAAGATTTTGAGAAAGAGTATTTTCAGCCATGTAGCTGTCATTTGAAGCAGCTATAAACTTCTCAGAAGGAACTGATTCTCGTGATAGAGACGAAGGAAATTAGAGCTGTGCTTTCTATACATCATTTGCATTTGTCCAACAGTGGTGAATAAGAATCAAGCACAGTGCAGACACATCAAAATGTATCTAGAACAGCCAGCTGGGTCAAGCCAGGCTTAGCAGGTCTGGCTCAGCATGAGCCATGACGTGCCTGGTTCAGGCAACATGGTGCTAAACCTTCGGAGTGAGACCTGAAACCCGGATCTTGCTGGCCCTCGCCCAGGCCAAGTCTCCCGTGTACCAGCAAGGGGAGACACCTTTGTCGGCAAGGTGGTTTTCCCAGGCTGAAACCCATCGCTCCCAACACGAGTGTGCTGACCCCTGTGATTTCCCCAGATGCAAAGCTAATGAATATCGCTGTAATCTGTTAATAGGTGACTCATTTGAGACCGTGGCAAAAGCACTTTATTTGTACTGTAAAATACTTGGGACAGGAACATATATTTCACAGGCTGCGTATGGCAGAAGGTAGCAAAAAGAAGGCTATAAGCATGAATAAAGGCACATCGAAATTCTTTAAACTTCGTACACAAAAAGTGCAAATAATTGTGCAAGAAGATAGCAGGTTGTTAATGACACATAAGCCTGAAGGCATACTGAAAACATAAAGGTGACCTGTTGCTTCTTTACCAAACCAAGTGTTTTTGCCCTCCTTACTCTCTTCTTCCTCCTGTCCCAATATCCAAAATCACATCACTAAAATGTATGCATATTTTTGAAGGCTGTATGTTAATACACTTTATTTCAACCAGATGGAGACTCGAAACTGCTTCAAAGCAACAAACCTTGTAACTTGGATTTCTGTAAACATCAAAGGTACAAAGACAAATAGAATGTCAATAGTGCTCTTTTTTGATGGTTTTCTAAGGACATGCAAAGTATAAGCATATCTAAGCCTAAAATGTTGCGGAAGACAGCAGTAGGCCATATTGGACAATGTTTAATTTGGTAAAGGACATTCATCATGTGAAAATGATGAAATGACAAAATAAGCCAGAGCAGTTAGACAAAGAATTATCACATAAAAAAGACATAATAAATAGATCCCTTTCATGAAGTACTGTACCTTCCTCTCTCTTTCAAACTCTTACTGAAACCATTGAAATAAACATTCAGTAGTAGGAAAGGAGTAAGGACAGTCAATATATAGATAAATAATGTAATGCAATAGTCTCCAAAGTTAGCCATCTAAATAGCAGGAGGCTATAAGTAATCTTAGAAATGTTAACCTACTGTTTTGGAGACTGAAGAGTAAACTAGGGGAACATGAAAATTAGTAGCCATACCCTTTGGTCATACTTAATACAAATTTGGAAATTCAAAGAACACGTATTACTATAGATAAAGATAACCAGATCTGGATCTCTAGTTGATAAGGCAAAATAAAACTGTTTCTGCCTACTCAAACAAGAAAAGAAGAAGGAAAAGAGGGAACAGAAAATGAACAAACAATGTGCTATTCCATCATGAAGGCTTTCCCTCAGTAAGGCTCTTGCCGATGGACAGATCCAGGATAGCGAGGAGTTGATAGATGGGTCAGAGTGGCAGAGAGCAAGGTGACTAAGTTGGGAGTAGATTGTTCACTGAAAGACTGGCTAGCCATGATAGTTTGTGGAATAGATCTGTTTGCTTTTAATCAGTATTTTGTATTCAGTCGGGTCTTTTTGTTTGTTTTTTAATGTTATACATTATTGCTTGAGTATACCAAGAAAGTATATTGTATTTAAACACGAAGGGAACATAGTGAAATGTGCTGTCATCCCCACAGCAGAAAGAGCACTGATAGCACGTTAGCATAAAAAATGGCCTCCCAGATTTTGAGAGCTGGTCACTGACAGCAACTTGATGAAAAATGACTCTGCCTTAGTTTTATAATGAGATTAGAATGATGAAACGGGCATGGTGGGCCCAGTGCGCAACTGCTGCTGCTTTTAAAGACTGTGTTTGGGTTGTGTTGTCTCCTGGTTGGAGCTTCAGCCGTGGTGAGATGAGCAGCAGCAGGGCTGGCAAACGGCCTGCTCTTCCAGGCAGCTTCCCAGGAGAGAGGGAGAAAGGGAGCGTGGCACAGGGGAGTCCTGAGAAGGTACCTGACCCAGTGCCAGTGACACGTGGAGTCTGTGGATGCTTGCAGCTCCAAAGGGCACTTTTAGTGACAAACTTTCTCTGGTGGTCACCATGATAGGATACAAATACTAAGGAGAGCAGCTGAAAAAAACAAACAAAAAAACCATGTTCTTAAGAAGAGTAAATACCAAATCAGATTGACTGAGAAAGGAGGTTGCATACTTTGGTGAGAGTGGAAGAGAAGGGGAAAGCTGTTGGTCCAGTCTCTTGCTGCATGCTGGTAGGTTGCATTTTGTTGGTAAAAGCATGTATCAAAAGGTAGTACAGACACGGAAATTTAGTGATGAGCACGGAATAAAGGAAGTGGCAGAGGCTTCGCTTTCAGCTCTTGGAAGTGCCAGGCAAAGGTACATGAGTTTCTCTAGCTCTTTTCTGGCAGATACAGGAATGACCCAGGAGAGTGAAATGACCTGCCCGAAATCATAGTAGTATTTTTCAAAAAAGAATGCACTTGTTCACTCCTATTCTGTGTTTAAGAAAGAGTATATTGATGTAGAAAAACAGCTTCAATAACCAGTATTAGTTTCCAAAACAAAATTCCAATCCGGCATACTTTAAAAAGAATTGAGGAGCAAATGATGAATAGTGTGTGAATGGAGTGTGATTTACGTTGCATTAACTGAGAGACTTAGTTATCCAGTGATAGAGTAAGCATGGATTTACACCTTAACATCATAGTGATACTACAAATCTTAGGATCCCATGTATGTATAATAATAGAAAGACTAATTTTTAAGCTTTCCTGGTTCATCACCTTTGTGAACTTTGGATTGGGTTTCTTTCAATATGAAAAGTCACTTTTAATCATGTGAAGTGAAGAAGTTGCTATTTCAATGTGAATATTTTCTTAGAAGGACCGAGTGGATTATGTACTTATCCCTTATTTAAAATATCTAAATGAAATAGTTCTAAGGAAATAGAGGATTAGCAAATAAGTACAATACACAGCAAGCTGTTTAGCTGAAGAAAGACTACATAATTTAAAATATCCTCAGCTAAATCCACTATAACAAATCTAGCTGGGAGACCGAATTACTTTAGAAACATGTGTGCTTAGAGTGGTCCATGTGGGTCAAGGGTAAAGTTCAGGAAGGATAGAGAAAGACTCTCAGGCTGCTTTTCTATTCTTGTACCAGTCCATGAGTAGAGGACTCCAGCTGTGAATGAATGTAATCTTCTTAAGAATCAAAAATCAAATACTTGTGTAAAAACAAGCAAGCAAATGTAGGATACAGATACACAGTAGAGCATCATTTTGTTGTTTCAGATCTCTGTGTGATCATGGTGTAATCATGGTGTGATCTTTCTCTCACTGAGATAAGCTGAAAAAGTTTATTTCGATTTCACACAAAATTTTTCACCAATTCAAGGACTATTTTTTCTGTCTCCTTCCAAACTAATGACATTTTTTTCCAGAGCTGAAGAATACATTCAAAGAGTAATCCATTTCAAATGGAACTGTTTTCAAAACATGTTGATTCTTCTGCATGAAAGTTGTTATCAGTTTCTGTATTAACAAAATAGCATTTGTATGTTCTAAATCTATAAATGAACAGGTGGTAATGACATGCATTTTGGCACTGTGTAGCAGACACACATTAAGGGTTCAGGTTTCCTTTCCTACTTCCTCACCAATTTCTTTTTATCTAAAAAAAAAAAATTCCTCTCTGCTTTTTTCCAGGTCTGGAGTTGGTCTGACAGGTTCTAGGCACACCATATTTTATGCAGAAGTAACAGACCAGATGAAAACTGGAGAAGGAGGTGGCCAGCCTGAAGAAGGAGAGCTGATACAAGTTGTAGAAATACCTTTAGAAGACTCCATGAAGTTTGCTTTTGATGAGAGTCTCCCAAAGACACCAGGTGTCGTTTTGGGCTTTGTGTGGTTCCAGAGCAACATAGCACCCAATCTACCAAAAAAATAAAGTATCAAAGATTTTGTGAAAAGCTTTCCCATTATTTCTATGAGTACGGAAAGCTGCAAGTCTGCCTTGATTGCCTCAAATTATCACAAAGGGAATCTTTCAAAAATAAAGTTAGAAGCAAAATTAGAAGTAAAATGCTGCATGTGAATGTGTCCAACGTTAGAAGCTCCCCCTTTTTGTGGTGCTGCTCTCACTGTTGGGCAGATACGCTCAGAGCCTCCGTGCAGCTGCTGCACAGGCCTGTCACGATGGCCTACGGATGCTGACAGCTGCTTGTTCCCATACCTGGTTTTTGGGGGGTAGAGGTCGTTTGGTTTTGTTTTGGGGGTCTTCCTCTAAGGTCTGCCAGCAGACCTGGGTAGTCAGATATCCCAGCTACATCGGTGAATTCTGCACAGCTTTCAGGGAGGAGCTTCCTCTATGATACTCAGCTTCTGTAAAGAAAATACTGCATTTCTGCACATGCACACCTTCAGTTCGTAAGCAGATAGAAACACATTTGTAGGCTGCTCTGCTAATGTGTCATTCTGACAGTGGACCAATTCTAAGTCTGTGTACTAAAGTGTATGTAAAGTGCAATTAGAGTGTATTCCAACTGCAGGGCTGAACAGCCGTGATGGGAAACAGGGATGAATCATGGGGGCCAGCACTGGATACAAATCTCTCTGTTTTATGGACAATCTTTGATTAACTGGATCAAAATTTGTTCTCTAGAGCAGGACTTGAGAGGCCAAAATTCTTTCCATTTCATTGTGAGATGACTAGCACAAGTCTTTCTTTGAGATGTGCATCTCATTTTCTTTATTGTTAAAGTGATTGAGAATAGGGCTTACTCCTCAGGTAAAGCTTTTTGAAATCTACTGATCAGAAGTGCTTTACTGAGAGGCTTTACTATCATTTCTGCAGTTTATACTGAAGCTTGTACAGCCTGCACAGATGTGCTGAGCAGCACAGTTTGATTCAATAAGCTATCTAATTAGAATGTATATTATATATTCTACCAGCATAGCTTAGATGTAGGCTGTCGTATGAAACTGTTAATAGCATGAATGGGAGAGAATTAAGTCTGGCAATTTAATTATGCACTTGTTCACGTTATTCACTCGGTTAATATTAATTAACGTGATGACATTAATTAACATGATGACATTATTTGTGTTTGTAGGGCTAGTGAGGCTATGTATTTTCAGGAGATGAGTACTGAGAATATGCAACCTTTCACATAGTCACTGGAATAACTTGAGTACAGATCAGTTGGAAGTAATTATACCCAGTGGCTGATTTGAAACTGCTGCACTTCGAAATACATGTAAATAAAATAAAATAAAAGTTTTTAAAAGTGATACCTGCTGCTATCTTCCTGAAAGCTATGGAGGACAGCTCACTGGAAAGTCATCGGAGAAAGAACAGTCCCAGTCCATGGGAGTCAAATACCTTTTATGAAAGTCCAGACACATTTACACTGAACTGTGCATGGCCTGGATGAGTCAAGCGCTGAGTTATCATGAAAAGTAAATTAATTTTGTCTGTCTCGTGTATTTACATTGGAAGGTATTTTAAGGTTGGGTCTCAGTTTCTATGTGTCTTTACAGTGTCTAAGACAATGTGTCCTGATTGCTGTTGAGGCCTTTAAGAACTACCAGAATATGAATAATAAATAATGTAAGTATGATACGGGCATTTACGTCTCTTATTCCAGGCTGTAGTTGCCAAAGTATCTATTTGATTCCATCAAAGTTATTACATGAAACATTTGATCTGTTCAGTAATAACTGTGTGCATATACAGTCAAAAGCTTTTCTGCCACATAGTGCAGTAATTTAGAGGGAAAAAAAATGAAAATTTCCAAAAAGGCATTTATTTATACTCTTTGCTCCAAAATTACAAATGCACAAAATGTCTCCATTTCTCCAGAAGTTCTTTGTTCTTTGTTTGGCACTGAGAATTTTCCCTCGGTCAGATGTTCCCACCTCTACTGGAGCCATAACCTGAAATCGGAACGTCCCAAGATTCGTTCCCGGTGCTTTTATGACCTTGGTGAGAGCACAAAGCTTCAACTCTTCAAAGCTCTGGGGGTGAAAGCCACTCAGGTGTGATTCATCGTATTTGCAAATACGCCTTGCAAAGGGGTGAAAGCCACTCAGGTGTGATTCATCTGACCAAATACGCCTTGCAAAGATTAGTCTGTCTAGAAGTGCCTTTGAATCTTGGCGCCTGCGTTTAGCTAGGACTCCTCAGAGCACCACGGAGGAGCCCGGCCAGCCCTGCAGTGCCGCACGGCAGCGGCCCTTGTCACAGGGGAGCGCCTCGTCACACCCAGCACGGGGTGGCAAAACCGCTGTGCAAACCACACGCTCAGTGCCAGCTATTCCTGCTCCGGTTCTATGTCTTTCTGTGAGGTGGACGGTTTGAAATTGCACATAAGTGTCACCCACGCTAAGGCCCTGCGCTGCACTGGGGCAGTCCAGACGTCTGCCCAGCCCTGTGCCCTGGCTGCATCCACAGGCATTAGCAGGTGCCCAGGGAAGATAAAGAACTGAGCGAATGAGCCATGACACATCTCCCAGTGCTCCCCCAGGCACCAACTCTTCTCAGCTCAGGAGATTTGTAATTCTCAAACAAATCAAAACAGTTTTGGCTTTCATTTCAGAATCTGGAAATTTTCCCCAGAAGTGACAATGATGCAATATAATAAAAGTGGGACATGAAACAATGTGGTATCTGGCATTTTGCTTTTCAATATTAAAAATAAGAGTTCATCCTTTCTCTTTTCCTCCTTAACTTGTTAATTCCTATGGTGATTTTTATTAGTAAGCAGGAAGGTTTGAAAATGGGAGAAAGGGTTTGGTCTGTTTCAAAACAGTGGGTCATTCACACATATAAATAGGCAACCTAATAAATAATGAAATATATTCACATATGCGAACATATTCATATATACAAAGCCACAACCCAAGCAATTCAGATACCATTTCTCTTGCCAGGGCCCTCTTCAAAGATTGTAAATAGAACAACCCTCATGTGCATCTGCTAAGTCCAGGCAGGAAAAAGTGCCAATCCTGGAATCCTTCAATCACAGCTGCATTTCAGACACATCCTTTTCTTATGCTACCACACACACGTCCATGGAGAGCAAACATTTCTGAATGAAACATAGAGTCCCCCTTTGCTTGTAATGAATATTGACTGCAGTGTACAGAACTGCTGTCCGATCTCATCCAACCATCCCCGTGAGCTCTATATCTTATTTATCAAGTTCCACTGAAGTCTATGAGGTTTCTTTGGGGTATAACTTAAGCAAAGCAGGTAATTAGATAACCTTGGATGCCTTGCAGTTGTGAGGCTTGCTGTTTGATAGGAGAGGAGAGGTCACCAACACCCTGCAAGTGCAGAAGGTGGATGATCAACGTGTTTGTGCTGTGGAGCCCCGTTGGGCTGAGCTTTCCCAAGCTGAACCCCGGGAGAGCCTGACGGCCTTTTTGCACGCAACAACTAGCAAAAAAAAAATCTCTATTTTTCTTGTTGGCGCCCGCCAGCGTGTATCCCGGGTGTTGCAAGGGAAATGCAGCCTGTGTTTAACTCTGTTCCCCTGGAGCTGCCAAGAGCAGGTTGGAAAACCAGAGCAGGTAAAGCCCCAAATTGGAGGCAGCGTGCCCCGCCAG